TTTAATAGGCAAGTCGAGCTACTTGTTAGACCAGCCTTGTGTGAATGTTTAAGCACCTAATGTGTATCTTAACAACGACATCCAGATATTTTAAACCCCCGTGTGCACAATTTGTGTAGAGAGGACACAGTAAACACTATCCACGGCATTGATCCCTGTCGTCTTGTTCCGTCTCTTCAGAGCGCTCACACAGGCAGTGGCAAGCGCTGCGGTGTCAAGTTTCTTCTCCAAGGATGATTGTTGTGACGTGAAGCTCTTCTTATCCGAAAGCAATTTAAACGCTCCTGCAGGGGTCCAAGATGATCAAAAGTTTCTATTTTGAAAATAAAGCCTAAAATGAACCTCCTCAAATTAAAAGCGACGCTTGAGGTGGTGGAGGTCATCGGTGTATTTTGAAAGTAAATGAAACGTGAAACAGTGAGGGAAACTCAGTTTAAATCCACGCTCAGCCTCAAAGCATTTTTCTCTTTGATAATTTTATACACTAACTGCATAATGATAGCATCATTTGTTCTGGGAAAATGACTTTTCTTTTCTTTTTAACGAGTGCCGACAGGGAAAAAAAACCTGCATTACGAGACAATTGTATAAAATCCCCTAAATAATCATCAGCAACATATAACAAGTAATATATTCAGCTGTATTAATTTACTAGGGAAACTGGAAGTGTCAGCTCAACCTATTGTTATTTCTGATGAGTGGACAGCAGGTCCTCTTTAATAGCAAGGCTGGCCTTTTTTTCATGAAAATACACCATTAACTTTCTCTTTGAGCTCTTACATTAGTTGGCCACCTTCCAAAGAGCCAATTAATCAGCCTCTTTTGTCAAGTTGAGTCACCTGGCAAGATAGGATCCTTTATAAAATATGTTGAAGGGAGTTGTAATGGAGGTCCTATTCAGGGATTTGGCAGAAACTGGCCAGTTATAATTAGAGCAATGTGGCTGTGGATGTCCCACAAAAAGCCTGCTGGGAGAAGAAAGAACGAAAGGTCCCTGTCAGCACATTCAGAGCAGCGTGAGAGGTTTTTTTTTTTTCCCCTGGAGCTTAAAATTTGTTTATGCACATTGCAGAAAGTGAATGCTTTTTTGAAGTCCTCTTCTTCTATCATTGCATCCATCTATCTTTCCATCCAATCTTGTCCTATCCTTGTTGGCCTGGAAAAGCTCAGGATTCCCAAGGAAGGGCTGGAAAGTGTCGCTGGGGAGAGCGCCGTCTAGGATTCTCTCCTTGACCTGCTGCCTACACAACCCGACCTTAGACAAATGGGGATGGATGGATGGTATAATCACACCAACCAGTCCTGGGTCTTCTCCTAGAAGAACATGACCTGAACACCACAAGAGGTTGGCATCCAGAAGGCATCTGAATCAGAGTCCCAATCCACCTCAGCTCAAGTCACAGATAAGTCACAGATCTACTCTGAGCTCTCGCCAGATGAATAAACTCCGTGTATTTCTAAGGCTGAGTCTGGAAACGTACAGAAACAACTCATTTTACTACCTGTGGTTTGGGATTTTATAACTATAGAAAAGGGCTGGAATGTAGACTAAATACTAAGTTTTGCCTTTTGGATCAGCTTCATCTCAATAAACCACAGCAATGCCCTCATTACCGTAGGTGAAACTTCAAGACATTAATCCTTCTTTTGTCCTAAATGCCTACCGTATTTTCTGCCGTATGTCGCTCCGCCCTATAAGTTGCATCAGTCCAAATATGTCTAAAAAAGTGGAAAATTCCATAAATATGTCGCTTTTCCCTATATGTCGCATCTATTATGCATCACCGCAGACGAGTCACATTTGTCACCACTAACAACCCAAAAATGTGGGCCGGTGTTGTGCCAAAAATTGATGGGTTGCCAAACGGTGGCTGCGGGAGCATGCACGGAAGGACATTAACACAAATTTAACAAGATTAACACTTAAAAACAATTATTTGCTTGCTCGATATTATATTAAATGTGTGTCTCAGTCTAACGTTTGCTTAATAAATGCACTTTGACGGTCAAATCAGCTGTATTTTAAAACCCGATTCGTGGAAACGACGGGCATGCGCAGAGGGATGAGCCTCCGTATTTCTTCAAAATTTAACAAGAAAAGCACCTAAAAACAATTATTTGTTTGCTCTAAGTTATAGCAAAGGTGTGTGCTGGTGAAAATTCTCAGTAATCCATGAAATGGTAAATTCAAAAAAGTTCAAGACAAAAACAAAGTATAAAGTATAATAAATAAAGTTTTGTTGTTTTTGTCTTAAACTTTTTTAAAGTTGTCATTATAGCCACATTTACCCATTACATGATACCACAGCATGCAATACAGCTACTACTACTCTGCTGCCATCTAGTGGCTGAAAATGGTACTGTTATTGTATTTTTTTCCAGACAGAATGAATGAAAATTGTCATATCTCAGCCAAAAATTGGATTATAAATATGGGGAGAAAAAAATCCATAAATACGTCGCTTTGGCCTATAAGTCGCAGGGCATGTAAATTATGCAAAAAAACTGTGACTTATAGGCTGAAAAATATGGTATATATGTGACCAAGCCACAAATGTATTTAAAATCCTTCATTTGAAGCAACGACTCATCCTTAATCCAAAGCGAGAAGTCCACCTTGTTTCTGTTCTCTATGAGAGGATCTGACTCTCATCCTATAGCTGCCTCACACTCGGCTGAAGGTCCTAAAGACATTAACAGAAGCACACCATCTGCATAAAGCAGAAAGGACATCCTGAGGTTCCCTAAACCAGACTTCCTCTTCTCTGAGACAAAAAAAACCCCAATAATCTAAAAACATGACCATGAGTCTGACAAATCATTCAACATATTTTTCAATAATTTAAGTTAATAAAGATTTATCTCCTATTTGTTTTCTGCCAATGTTCCTCTGTTGAGAGGCCATATCACTTCCTTTTTTCATTTATATTTTCATGCCGATATAAACCCATGCTGGACGGCACACTCTCAACTTCCATTCAGTTGCTTTGTCTCTTATAGTGAACCATTTCCAACACCCAAATGCTCTCCTTGTCTCTAAATGATGTCCGGGCCCCATTTCCCGGTGCCATCGGTTGTTAGTGACAGCATAGTGGAGAGAGAAAATTGCATATTATTTACCCAGTGCCTTCAATATGCCACTTTTCCACTCTATAGCCTGCAGCTTACGACTCACAGCACACGCGCAGACACATAAACCTACAAAAGACGCATGAGGCTCAGATGAATGCAAACATGCACCAACTTGGCTCACAGCTTAAGGCTTTTTCTCCCTTTCTGTCGTTTCTTTCCCCCCCAGCAATGCTGTGACATTCTGCTCTGACATGTCATTAAAAAGTGTCACAGGTTCTGGGGGAGTGATCTCAGCCATGCTCTGCCTCCGAACGAGCAAAAGGGACAGAAGCGAGGGAGGAAGGGAATGACGAGTCAGAGTTGGACCATGCGTATAGAGCCAGCCTTCAGGGTCACATCAAATACCTCCTGTGGCATTATGGAGTCATCCTACTCATTCTTTTCCCCATTCTGTCTCTTTCCAGGCTCAGTAGTTTTTCCAGTTACGTATGGGCAGGAGATTTGAGCTCGACTGCGAGCTCAATCACATCACAGCTCCCTGGGTGCCACAAATCACTGGATTTCACATCAGAACATGGGGGCGCAGATTTTTGCTCTTCCACTTTCAACGTTCTTTTCCGTTTTTTCACCTCGCTCTGGCACTTTCTATCTCTCCGACGCCCCGCACCCCTCTTCCCTTTGTCTCCCTGAAGCTGACCCCGGTGTCTCGTTTCAGGAACCACTGTGGTGGGTTGTTCAGACAACCGGGAAAATTTCTTCCACTTCATCTGACTAACCCACCTCTGCACCTCTCCAACAGACTGTGAGATTGGAGGAGTCCACTGGACCGAGCTGGCTCTAGAGTCGACAGGGGATTTCATATTTTCCTAAAAATTGCCGGTACGCTTAAGAAAATGTGTGACTGTGCTACTTTTCCACCAGTGAGCCGCACCAATTTCTATTTTAGTGCCTTTATTGTTAGAGTTTTATACAGATACAGTGTTGCACCTAATAGGTAAAAAACACCTCCAGATGGATTTTTCCACGATCACAACAGTTCCACAGATCAAGGGATAAATGCTAATGGTTTAATCCAAAAGGTGAAAAATCCCAACGTTGACGCACGTGCCTCGTAAAACCGTGTGCCAATAAAGAAGCATTGATTGCCAAGGCCTGCGCTGAATCTGATCCAGCTGATATGAGGCAGTTTCTCCACTTGCTGCTTGATGAGAAGACATTACTTTGGAGCGGAATGAATCTCGCAACGATGGAACGGAGCAATTTGTCAGATAATCATCTCGACTCCGTTTTAAAACTGCTATAAAATATTTTTAAATCATCCACATAAAATTCATGGACCTATAAATACCTCATAACCTTTTTTTCCCGTCTTTTTCTCAGCTGGATACAAAGTCTGAGTCCATTTACCTTTTCCATAAAGACAACGCTCTCACCTTGAGCCACATCGATCACATGCCGGTTAAGATCTGACCTGTCGCACCCCTCTGTCAATACCCATCTCTGTGATGTAACCTTTGATTATGATTAACGGCCTTCAGGAGCACATCTAACACCTGTTTGGCCAGAAGGACCGTGGCTGTCTGATGTTTTTTAATGTGATACAGAGTCTCACAAACAAATGAAAAGGAACTAAGAATAGAGCAGATTCTGAGGGCACAGCGCCCTGGGATTCTGAACAACTGCTGTGTGAGTCTTAAGAACAAAGTTAATGAACACTACCAGGAGGGAACAAGGAGCTACTTGTCTGCTTTTTCATGCTGTGCATCACTTGGAAAAAGACAGAACAATTGTTTTAATACTGCTCTACATACCTGCAGGATCTGTGCTGTCAGAAGTAACAAGAGCTTCATCTTGCGGTTTTTGTTTTATGATAAAGGTGCGGTATGAACAAGGTTTAATGCAAATGAGCTAGTTTTCTTCGTCGTTACCTGAACTCTGGAGTTGGGGTCTTGCTTGATCCATTTGATGACAGTTTCATAGACCAGCTCCTCAGCCTTCGTGTTCAGACTGTCGTTGGACAGGTACGCCACCAGGTCCTCCGTGGAAACACTCAAAATCTCCTCCTGACCGGCCACCTGAAAGAGGCCATATTGTCAAAAACATGTTTCAGTAGGAGGTGGGAGAAGATACAAGTCTGTTTTATTGGAAATATCAGACTCAAGCCAAGGTTAGATGATAAAAGAGTTGATCTCACTTTCACAAATCTTGCTCGCAAATATATGTTGAAAGATTTTAGCAGAGCCCATGATGAAACTGAAAAGTTTCATCATAAGACACCAAGAGTAGTCTTTCTAGAGCCAAAACAGAAAACATTCTGCAGACCGAAGCACTAAAATTCATAAAACTCCTGTCATTTCATATCCATTTACTATTATACTTAAAGAAAAACTAGCAAAGAAAAATCCTTTCATCTCTATCAAAAATATGACACAACTGTGTGATTTCATAAAACACACCATTTCCTTTGATTCACCATCATCATTACAGGCTGGAGTTCCTTTCATGAAGCAACTTCTTTGGTGTTTCGCTAAAAGATTCTAAAGTTTCCTCGACTCTTTCAACAAAACTAAACAACGATGCACACAGATGATAAAAAGAGCAACAGAAATTGAGCAGAAAAAAGTTGATTTAAAGATTTTGGTACTTGTAAGGAAGTATAGTCTTTGGACTATGCTTTTTTCTTTCTATAAAGAGGAATAATACCTCTCTCTCGGAGTTCATACATTCAATCAAACCAACAGAGGCAAACAGAGAGCTCAAACGTAGTCAGCAGATAGTGATTTTGGATACAACCGATCTCTTTGTAACCAGCGCTAGGCTCATTGACTCACCGCTGTCTCTCCCACCTGGAAACCTCACAGCAAAGGTTATATATAATGCATAACTTTTTTGATGTGCGAAGAGAGACAAGCGAGAATTTTTCCCGCTGTGTCCAGCTTTTATATTGGGCTAAGCTGACTGTCTTTGGGTTGGCGTCTCATATTTAATGGACAGACCTGACTGGAGCATTGACCTTCTCGTTTCCATTAACTTTGTACATTTTGAGGGTGCTTTACCCATCACATTATTTTCTCACATCCAATGTCAGTCAACTTTATTGGCTTAGTAATGAAAAATACTAAAATCATATCTTAATGTAAGACTCCAGAACATCACAATAGGACATACTGGTCTGTCATTTAAAATCTCAGGTTATCCAGTGCCTAGATAAACTAAACTTAGCACAAAAAGAAAGAAAATGTGTGTTTGGTTGACTATATGTTGTAACAATGCTTCTTGGCAATAAATCTGATATTGTTGGAAAGCTTTTTATTTAAATGGCGCCAAATTTGTATGGAAAGTGCATTTGTGGGAGGAGTAGCAGAGTCGAGTATCTATCTGTTATAACTGTTTTAAATTGTGCTCTATAAATAAATAAATATGACTTGAGTATGTGAAAAATTTGCCAACTCTTTCCCCGTTGATGCCAAAAAAACTTACTCTGGTACTGATTCTTTTTTATGTAATTTATCGAGTTGGGTGACTGAACTCTGAAGAAACAAGACCTATTGGAAATTTAACAATTTATTCATTTAATAACACAAGGCCTCAGTGGCATGTGCAAGAACCATACACAGCCACAACAGCGTGTCACCTCCTGCATACGCTGCTCACCAGCATTTGGTATAAGTCAGCCAGTGTGGTTGTGTTAGTCACACTGGAACAAATAGCATTCCTAAGCTGATCCCACAGGTGTTCAATGGGGTTGATGTCAGGACTATCCATTCTCTATAATCCCAAATTCGTGATGCCCACTTCACAGCCTGTTTCTGACAAGTACCGTTAAATGGAACTCAACCATCAATTTATAGATAACACCAAAGTTCAATCAAAATAATGCTGCAGATTTCTTGCGGAACACCAGCTTGAGGTAGGGCCCTATTCTGATCAGTCAAATGTGGCATGCTTGGAGCAGACGCCACCTGACCATTGTAGCAGGCTCCATGCTCGCAGGTGCGAATTAAACTCCCTTTCCATAGCTCCTCTTCAGCACGACTCGACTGAGCCCTTTTCCACCATCACATTTTCGTGGAACTGGCACCTTTTTTGGTCCCTTCTTTTCTGCGGTACCAAGCAGGCCGAGCCGGCACCAAAACATGATGTCAGAACACTGTCCGTCACTGACTGGTCAAGGGGAAGCGTCACTAGAGGGGTTTGAGAATTTTTCAAAACATTTGATATGCCATTTGCAATTACTGGTGTTCGAACTCGAGGAGAATTGGACCTATTTTAAAAAATGTAAAAACAATAATGACAACACAGTGGTCTAATGCTGAAGTGCAGGCGTTTTTTTGTACTTGGTGGCTGACGACAAAATTCAGAGCGAGCTAGATGGAGCTCCGCCAGTCCCCAACTCTCTCCGGTCCCCGACTCTCTCTGGTCCTCTCCACCAGAGCTTCAGAGCCCCCTCAGGCTGGGCAGGGTGACCACAGAAGATCCTCTGTGCTGCTGACTCGGGGCTCGGGCTCTGGATCCCGGCCTTGCATGCTCTGCGGACTCCGAGCTCCGCTGGTAACCACAGAGGATCATACAAGCTGATAACTTGCAGAAGGTCGTTGCACAGACCCCGGCCTCGCTTGCTCATGAAGGCTGAACCCAATCCTTGCAGACGGGTTGACCGGGAAAGGCCTGGGGCGGAGGGTGGATAAGATTTTTTAAAAATAGTTCATGTAAAAAAATAAAATAAAAATAAAAAGTATTTCTTTTATCAGTGAAGATTAAAAAATAAATAAAAGGTGCCGGCTTTATCGTGAAATCCTGTTTTTACTTTAATGACTATTAAATAATCTGTTAACGTTAACTCAGCGGAAAAATCATAAAAAGACAAAATTATCAAATCTCTCAGGAATATTTCCCTCAAACATGTTTAAAGAAGAGATACCACCTTTAGTTCAACTTTATTCTAACCCACAGATGTACAAATCACAAAACAAGAATTTTAAAGCAAAGCTAAAAAAAATACAAATCTGTGAACAAGAAACAAAACCACATTTCTAAATTTAACAATAAAAGTAGACATGAGTGCAAATACACCAAATGATAAAGAAAACCTACAAAATTTTAAATATAGATGCTTTTGTAGAATCTGGTTCATAAGAGAATTAATGGTGAACTAAAGTTAATTAAAAGTTCATTAGCAGAATTTATATATATATATCAGAGTCAGAGTCAGAGTCAGAGTCAGAGTTTCTTTGTCATTCGCACCTCATGTGGTACATGTGGTGGAGCGAAATTATGTACGCAGGGTCCCAGTTACATCCAACAATAAAATGTATAAGAAAAACAGTAATAACATCTAAGATATGAACTAAGAAAAACATCAACTAAATATACACTAAGCACTCATAACATAAAACATTGAACATCACCACAAACATGAACATGAGTCTGTGAGCAGATGTGCACGCATGAACACATCAACATTGAAACAGATCAGCAGCAACATGAAACAGATCAGCAGCAACATGATATGGTTTTTCACAGTGATTATTCTAGTTAGAGATTCATGAGTCTAACAGCCTCAGGGTAGAAGCTGTTCCTCAGTCTAGTGGTTCTACACTTAATGCTCCTTAACCTCCTTCCTGAGGGGAGTGGGGCAAAAAGTGTGTGTGCTGGGTGGGTGGGGTCCTTCATGATGCAGGTGGCCCTCTTCCTGCATCTGGAGGTGTAGATGTCTGTGATGGTGGGGAGACTGATTCCAACAGATTTCTGTGCAGCCTTCACCACTCTCTGCAAAGCTTTTCTTTCTGCAGCTGTGCAGCCTCCATGCCACACATTGATGCTCGAGCACAGGATGCTCTCCACTGCACACCTGTAGAAGGAGGTGAGGACTGAGCTTCCCAGACCAGCTCGACTCAGCCGTCTGAGGAAGTAGAGTCTCTGATGAGCTTTCTTGATCAGGCTGGTGGTGTTGTTGCTCCAGCTGAGGTTGTCATTCATGTGTACACCCAAGTACTTGTAGCTGGAGACCACTAAAAAAAAAAAAAAAAAAAAAAAAAAAAAAAAAAAAAAAAAAAAATATATATATTTTATTTTTATTTTTATTTGATCATTTTAATAATCTGTATTGTTTTTAATTTACCAGAAACTTCAAAATAAATTCTCACCCTGTACTGAAACCTGTTTCAAGGTCTTACCGCCGCCAGATGGTGAGGCGTGTGACGTCAATTTGAACCCCACCCTTTGGAACCAGTACTGAAAGTATAATGTAAACACAACCTGTACCGAACCGAGCCAAGTCGAATCGTGCTGCACCAGTACTAAAAGGTACTATGGAAAAGGGGCATTAGTTAACTAGATAGGTATTTGAACAATACAATTGCACAAGTTACGAGTCGAGGATCAGTATAATTTCAGTTTAATCCAGACGTAGAAAAATACAATAAAAATGGCTTAACTTTGTAATAGTTTTCTCAAATTAACATAAATGTTCCCCCTTTCTTTCTGAAGGCCTTCTCACCTTCAAAATACGAGGTGTGAGAAGGCCTCATGAGGTTTGTACGACAAAATCAATACACAAACACTATTTGAGTCTCACTGACTTTCTTCTTAGAAAAGTGCATTTTGTTTTTGCCTCAACAATTCCAGCTTGCAGTGCAACTCTCCACCATGGGACATTAGCTTGACAGCTGCCAATTTTGTCAGCAATTGAACTAAATCACACCTCTAGGGTATAAAAACTTTCCTGATTAGTGAAGAAAAAGAACAATGGGTATGTTATGTCATAGCTTGGGATGAGCTCAATGAAAGGGTTTGAACCACAGATCCATCAAACTGCCAGCTGCTTCAGGGATGTTTTCAAGTTGCATCATTCATTTACGCTGCTTAGAGTTAACAGGAAGTCATCTAAAAACAAAAACCCTGTCAGGATACTTAGAATGCAGTATCAAAGTTAAAGATGGCTATTATGAGGAATTAAAGTAATAATTAGTGTGTTTAATTACTTTTGTGTTGACATGTTTTGTATACTTAAACATTTTAGCATTTTCTTTAGTTCAATAAAACAAATGAAACCAAAGCGATGCTGCAAATATATTATATATATATAAGGAGGCCGCTGAATGTTTGATAAAATACAGAATTATATTTCTGAAACCCTATAAAAGTTTTTATTTTTTTATGAATAACTGTCTCCCCACAGTCACAACCAAAGGTTAAGAATATGTTTTTTTTTCTTCTTCTGTGATGGTTTCCAAGATAAGGTCAGCGAAGCTGCATGCTTTCAGATTCTCAAATGCATTTTCTGATGCTACGCTCTGATGGTCTCATTTTCAATCCTATTTAATTTTCTGTGATTCGCCATCCATTAAAGCTACAAAAAACTGAGAAGTCTCTGAATTTTCTGTGTTTGTGCACAAGGATAGCCTGCATTCATCCTTTAGGTGCTTTCAAATAAGCTCTGTTCTGTGACACATACAGTACTCTATTATTTTAGAATGAATCTTTTCACGTTAACTCATCCTTCAAAACCTAAAATAACTTTTACTGTGCTGAATGGCTTTGGTAATATAATGTTTTTAAATGAAACGTACATTGTCATTTAGTTGGATTTGCCTGTATGGTTGTTTGTTCATTCTGCAGTTTGATTGGTTGCTGGTGGTGGTTAATTAGGTCGTTTTCACACCTGACTGTCCGGTAGACTCGGTTTGATTGGGGACCAAAATTCGGAACATCTGTTTACATTTTCATCTGCTGCAGTTCACATTCACATTGCATTGAGTCAATTGAGCCATCCTGTCCCCCCCCCCCCCCCCCCCCGCCTGTGGTGGCGCTGCACAGAAGGAAACAACATGAAAACCTGTGAAGAAGACACTGAGCGCAATTTATTTCTGGAAATAAAAAATAAAATGGAATGGTGTCAAATTTTAGCGGTTTTAGGATTTCTGTTTTGTCTGTGGCACATGTGCCAAACAAACATTTTTCAACAATGGACTCGGCATGAGCGGAAGATGAGGCAGAAGACCATGGAAAATGTTGTTTTTCACACAAGGCGGAAGAGACGGCTCCATATGAGGTATGAGAAATGCTTGTTTGTTTTGGTTGTATTTACCCAGAATAGAGTTGCACTCAGGTCCAAAAAAATCAAACCTGACCCGGCCCCGGATCGCAGCTATCATCTCTGAACCCCACCCGATCCGACGAATTAACAGTTAATTACAAGTCCGAACCAAATCCACCCCCCCACCCCCCCAACATTTTTTTTATTAAGCTTACTATCATTAACGGTTGGCAGATGAGTAAACGGACAGAAGATTGGAGCTGAGGAGCCATCAAAGCACATTAAATGCTTCCCCTGCTTCTGCCTGCATTCTGCTCTGACATGTCAGATATTTTGTGATCGTTGTCAAATGCACGGTCAAATGGCCGAGTGCGGCTGGTGATTTTATGGCAAGCCATGTTGGCATTTAATTGGATCGTTGGCCGTGCGCGTCCCTGACACAATAAAAAGCCCAACACCGACCCGGCCCACACATTAAGCACATTATTATGGTTCGGTCCAAATCCGGGTTGGGCAGGGTTGGGCTAGAAATGACAGCTCTAACACAGAATGCCCTGCACTGTAGTCCACTTCCTGCTTTTGGAGCGGTCTCCAGTCTGCTTGCATTCACAATGTATTCAAACGGCGCTAGAGTTCACTTTAACCGAACCGAGACCTAGGTATTTAGGTGGACCAGAGTTCACATTTTTTGGTCCGGACTTTCTAAGCAAACGGACTAGAGTTTGATAAAAGTGGACTAAACAGGGCTGGTGTGAATGCACCCATAGCCTCCAGTGTTTCCCCTACCATTATACAAGCGGGGCACCCCGCCCCGTCAACAGAACCGAGCGCCCCGTCTACCGAACCCCACCCCCCCCCCCCCGTCGGCACTGACATAACGCTAAACTAGTGGCTCG